TTGAAACCCATTTAATAATAGGGAAATTGTGTAGAACTTACCATGAGTTTTCGGCATTTCTCTTAAACTTACCACAATTTTTCAAAACGTCTAAAACTCACCATGTCAGTAAGTTTTCATTTTCCAAAACTCACCTTCTGTTAGTGCATCATTAATGTTTCTTAACAGAGGTGTCCACAACAGCATAAATAACAATTTTTATGACCAAATCACCCTTGAATGGCGAGTTAGAAGAAAATGGTCTTTTTTATTTTTCAATTTTCTTTTCTTTTTTTACGTTTTAGTGTTTTTTATAATTTTTAATGTTTTTATAATTTCTGTTTTTTTTTTTACATTTTTCTATTTTTTTATACTTTTTCTATCTACAACCTATAAAATTTCCTGTATTTTTTGTTATTTATTTGCAATTTCTGTGTTTTTCTATAATTTGTGTTGTTTTTTCTACAATTTTTATTTAAAGATTTTGTTTTTCAATCTCTACAGTTTCTATAGTTTTAAAATATTTTTTTATTTTGTGTGCAGTTTCTAAAATTTTTTATAATTTTTGCAATTTCTGTGTTTTTATGTATTTTACATTTGAAAATATTATTTAAACTTTTCCTTTTTTTTCATATATAAATATTAAAATATATGTATATATTTTATATTTTTCTATGAAGGTTAAAATGGTAATATATTAACAGCCGTTAGTCTCTTTATTGTCAAGTTAGTGACATGGTGAGTTTTAAACATGTTGAAAAGTTGTAATGAGTTTAAGAGAAATGCTGAAAACTCATGATGAGTTTTTGATAATTTTTCTTAATAATAACAACCAAGAGGTGTAGAAAACATGGATGATTTTGTTTTTGAAAACAAAAGCAACTGCCACATCAACAAAAGCGAAACCAATCAAATTATTCGATATAATCTTTAAAAAGAGGATCACAATTACAGTCCAGTCGCCAACTAAGTAATGGCTCGATTGGCACGTAAATTGGGTAATCCCAGGCAGGTTGTGGTTTTGAGACCCGCTTTTGATTCTTATTACTTCTGAGAAAAAAGTTATTAATGTTGCTAGAAAAAAACTGTCCAGAGACCCATTCACTGAGAGCCCACGAGCAAGATATAATCACTACAGACTGTGTTGTGTACATGGGACCAAATGCATCATCTCCAAGTTAGGTTTTGCTACAAACAAATAAACTTCACTACTTTTGCTAAAAAAAAGTATGCGCAAGTAATCCGTTATTGCATAAATTCCCGATGCTGCTAGAAGGCTATCACTTCTAGCTTTTAGCTTTTTCTTTTCGGACTTTATGGGCTCTCATCCCCTTAACCCAACCCTTTGATCCTAGGTCTCTCCTACAATGAGACCCAGACCCTATCAATTTGACCCCATTAAAGGTGATATTCAAACATAAAATGCTTATATACAAAACTTATATTATACGTATTATTACAATTGGGTTAAATATTATACTTTTAATAGATATTGATGAGTTCAAATTTCGTAGGATTTATTTTTAATTCATTTTGTTCGTGATTTATAATTGTAATATCAGTCATTTTAACTTTAATTTCTTAGTTTGATCTTTTCTAGTTTATTTTATTAATGGTATTCAATATCCAATTATAATACACATTTGATTTGAATCCCGAACTTTAATGAATCTTTACCCCTTAAAGAAACACTTTTTGAAGGTCCATCGTAAATTCTAAGGCTTAAAATTTTGACACATGTTAGATCGTATCGACCAATACATTTCATATCGTGGGCTTCCCGACATGCCTTTATAGGGGGTGTTTCAGAGTTTAATCCAAATGGACTGTAAACTGACCCCTTTGATAAAACAATCTAAAACAAATGGATGCAAGCCTTGATACAGTCCGATATTTTAAACATTGGTAAGTTCGGTTCTATTACAAAATATGGGTGATGGGGAAAACTTTTGCTGCTCATCTTGAGCAGATATTCCTGTCCAGAGTGCACAGTATATTGCCACGTTGTATGACCGTGACCCTATCCCAGCGCCATTAAGTTACAATTTTTATTTTGCTTAAATTTTATTTTATTTTTTATTCCTGATTCTCCCCGGTCCTCACACATTATTCTCTCCCACTCTTCCTCTTCTTCTGTACATTCTGAAAGATTGATTCTGAGTTTTTCTTCTGACTTCATTGGTAATCACTTCCACATTCTATAACTTCATTTGGATGGGTCATTACAGGTGAGAAATGATTTATAACCAACTGGTTTAATTTTGTCTTGAGGCATTATTCTACTTTAGAAAATTCCAAAGGATAGTTGGGCAATTTTTTTAAACTACCCCTGAGGTTTAGAAAATTGATTAATTATATCCCTATTGTTTCAGTATTGTCTTAAAGTATTATTGTTGTTTCTGATAATTGATTAGCTCTACCCTTATTGTTATCATCCGTTAATATCCCATCAAATTCTGTACATATATGACACCATGTGACGTTTAATTTTTATAAAATCCAATTTTGCCCTTCATTAATTTTGTCAAAGATTTTCTCATAAACTTCTTTCGGAGGCTGGTACAGAAAAATACCAGTATTAACTTGTTTCATGGAAAAAGAGAATAAGTTGCAATCCAATTAAATCAATTAAAAACCAAAATAAAATTTTTCTTGACAAGTTCAAACTTGGGAGTCTTTCTCAATGGTTTTTGATTAAGATTGATCATTGCCAAAGCCGACACTACTTATGTTTCATGTCTGGGCATTGCTGTTTTATTCTTCGATACAGATATAATGTTGTGATACCCCCGGTGTAACATTGGTTCTTTTTCTCTCACTAGTACTTCGAACCTAACCTCACTATGCATGTTATTCTTATTACTTCTTACATTTTCAACTCTGCAACACTGGTTCTTTTTCTCTCATATACCCCCTTTGTTCGAACAAAATTCTGCATTCCAATCGCATAGGGAGATGACTAGAAGATGCACAGGCGCTCGGGTTTTTTTTCAAAAAACAGGGTTGGGACAGGGCCACGATTAATAGGTCAACAGGGCAATAGGCTGTGTACAATGGGCAGTAATTACTGCCCAAAGTGTGCAGCGAAAATTTTCCCAACCCCCAGGTGACAGATCGGATTTGCTACTCACAAAATGCACCTTACAGCACATCCTAGCGGTGCATTGAGAACATCTTCAACAATTGATATCATCATTCCGGGAAGAAGTTCCCAATGGACAGCTTGAGGCACACTGTGGAGTCTAGATTTCCTGCCCATAAGAACTCTGCCTATGTCATTCACATGAGAACATCTCATCTTCCTACACGGGGAAATGTTTTCAATACACGAGGGTAATATGTTTTGGGGAAACGTGAATAGAGTTCTTATGCGCAGAAGATCCAAAGTCCACTTAATGGGGAGCAAATCCGAATTTTCGGGGACGTGCCCTTGAACTTCAAAAGACGTTCCCTCCTATAGACTCCTACAGACGATAACACCACAACCCACATACTAGGCACCTTCTTTCAACCTCGAATTCACAGGAAGCGTGCACCTACGGGTGTAAAAAATGAATACGTCACCTTATGAAGTTAACAGGAGTTTAACAGAATTGCTCTGTTAAGGCTGGTCCAACCACTAAAAGACAAAAAAGTGAAAAACGACAATCTCCTCCATTCTTATTCCCCTCTCACCGTCTTTCAGCATCAAACCACATCAACCAAGTTGGGAGACCAATGATCGGTGACGGCCATAAAATCATCTTCTCTTCATGTCACAGATGGGATGGAAGTGCAGGAGGATATGTAGGTGGAAAAAGAAAAATCGGAAAACAACGAAAAAGAAGGCCAAAATCAATCAGAACACTCACTCTTACATTGCCACCAACATATTAGCTGATTTATGCATCGTGAGATCAATGTTTTCTACTCTAGTATTCAAACTTTCAGGTAATCTTTTGCCACCAACTTCTATGTGTCGGGGTCAGATCGACTATAATCCAAACTTCATGTAATTGTGCTTAGGGGTGTCAATTGGACTGGATTTGGTCCAATCCGGTCCAATCTAATGTGAGTCCATTATAAATGGACCTAGTCCAATCCAATCCAATGAATATTTTAGACTATTTTGGACCAGTCTAGATACTGTCCAATCTGTTCAAATTCCTGTTAATTTAGATTGGTTTCAACTCAAACCTGGTCCATTGACACCTATGTTCTTATCTTTTATCAAAGAACCAGATATTGAACCAATCCAATATAAATTTATTATGGACAGACCAGGTCCAATCCAAATTCAATGTCTTATTGGTCCGTCCAATCCGTCCAAATGGATTTTGATTTGGACAGAATCCAATCTAAAACCGGTCCTTTGACACCCACAATTGTGCTATAGCCAATTGCTTATAGGATTATTCAATCCATAATTTTAAGTGTTTAAATGCTCTTGGAAAATCTACAAGTACTTAGCGACGATTGAGGAATTGTTTAAAGCTACTAGAAATGAAATTTAACTATGTAAATTTGATTACCCTTTTATTCCTATTTAGGAAATAGGAAAAAGCAAGAAATGAAGGTAATGGCGTGGCTGATACCTTACCACTGGGATCAGACAGAGGGTGTTTGGGTTCTAGGACACAGCCTTAAGATTTCAGAGGATTGTTGTCAATAAAATTGAGAAAAAAGAATAAGGGGTAGAAAGTGTAGAAAGAAGAATTTATCATCAATCTCTGGTCGTCGGTTGATGCCTCGCACTAAAGGTCGATTGTTTTGGTAGCCGGTAGTCTAGTTATAGAGTATGTCGAGACTTGAAAATGGAAGGGAAGTGTTACTGGGTTTTATTGTTTTTCTTTTTTGTGGCTGGATCAACCAGTCGGACCATTATTAACCAAGAAACCCCGTTAACCTCCTGTTAACTTACTAAGACGATGTATTCATTTTTCATTGGCAGGTGCACACTTCCTGTGAACCGAAAGGGTCCACAGGATTCGCGTTCCCTTCTTTCACGAGATATAATACCATACTGCAGAGATTCAGCAACAGGAATTCTAAAAAATACCTTTTAACGAACTAAAACCAAATAACCATGATTGTCACAATACAAAACCAAGTGAGGGTATTTGATTCCGACACAACCAAACAAAAATATTACCTAAATTAAAATGTTGGCTGACTATGATGAAAAAATTAAAAACACAACAAAAATGCAAATTTAGGTATTGGTAGCCCTAGTGTAGATTTGCTGACTTGCGTGGGCAGATACCATCCTGATCAAACCTCTTGCCATTAATTCCCTGATTGCTTTCCTTGCAAGTGATCCATTAATCTGGGGAATAACACAAACAAAAGCAACAAAACGATCAAATCAAAGTGCACATGCGATAAACTTGCAGCTACAGAAAATGATGACAACCACTAATCTTGAGCAAATAAATGGGTACTTTGGGTTAGTCACATTGGTTGGGTCGGAAATTGCCACCTATACTCAGTTGGAGTACCCATTTAATCTGGAAATAAAATCACTACAGTTCAAGTCAAACAAATCAACCAATGATATCATTATCAAAGATGGTAACTACAAATTTTGATATCTATCCCCTCTCTCTCTCTCTCTCACACACAAATCAAAGATTGTTCCATCCTCTCTCTCTCTCTCTCACACACACGCACATATATATATACAAGTCGCATACCGCTTGGACCTACCATCAGACCCTATCATATACTTCCTATAGGTAAATGAACACTATATGAAAGAGCTCTCTTCTCTCTAATCTTCCCTATCAATAGTCTAAAAAATGATAGCTTCCATGGTTTATCAAATGACTTTGGCATTCCTACCCACCCCTACCGACGCCTCACTACAGCTGTACATTGAGATCTCCCATATTTACACGTTTACCATACCATTCATGGGGAGATGTTTCCTGTACAGTTGCGGTATCATGTGGTATTTATTAATATTGAAAATGACTAAAAAATATAAAACAGGAAAAAGAAAATCAAATATCTAACCCATGACCCACTAATTGTGTCAAATGTTTTAACAGTTCAATCGTCCAGATTATAGGGCAATTGACAATTTGACAGGACCAACTGGTTCAATCCGACATTGAAATCAATCAGACCAACCTTCCAATCCATTTATGCATTGGCGTAGTCGGCCAAACCAATTGGATCTCCAAATTGCTATTGGGCATGGCCGATACAACCATGGGTTGAAAACACACATCATAACGCTATCTTTCAACTTATCAAAAAAAAAACACCCTTTCTCTTCCGATTCAACGTCTAACTGTCATCAATCCTTAATTCGCATTATCCCTCCATTTAAATTCAAGCAATGCATTAACTAATCATTAACTCTAATTAATAACTAATCTAAATGATCAACTCCATTTAAATTACCATGTAAATGTAATATTATGTGCATATGTAATGTGATTTGAATGCACAATACCTATATGAAAAACAACTCTTACGATAAGGACATGTCTGATGACAAGTCATTAAAAATACTTTTGTTTCAACTTTTAAGCCAGCTTTTCATTTTTCATAAAAGAGAAAACTAAAGTTGTTACAAGGTTAACAGATTGGGTTGGGTCAAGGCAGTTTTAGATTGAACCTAACCTATATAATTTTATTTAAAGGGGTGATTTAATAGTACTAAGGTTGGATGGGTTGATGGGTTGAGTGACAACCCAAATGTACGGTACCTCACCCAAAATCACATAATTGCCACCGCAACAGTTTCGAGTAATGGATCATGTTTAGGATGGAGTTCAATAGCTGATAATGCTGGTATTCCTTACCATTATCCCAAGTGTGTCATTCTTTTGACACATTAGGAAGGAGTGCAAAAGGGTAATCATTGGTAACAAGAGGTTCAGCCGATTGGGCATGATTATGGAAACCCAAGCATAATTTCATCAACTACAACTTGATTTTTTTTCACAATCAGGAAGAAAAGATAGACCCAGGGGTAGCATGACTCCAAACATCCATATTTCATTAGCTACAACTTGATTTTGGCAGTCAGACTACCTGTTCAAGCTTGCAGCATCGTTCAATTGTCCCTCTAAATTCTTCACCTCAAAGCTTAAAGAATACTTCTTGAGTGGAAGGGCAACCTAAAAATAATCCTAATGTATCTGCTGTTTTCTACTTATTAAAACAAAACATTTCTGGTATTCTCTAGAAATACCTATTCCAGGCCTAACTGGAAGAAATTATTCTTGACGCTGATCTCTCTCCACTTGTTTCATAGATTAGCATTACCTAGGTATATTAAAAATTTAGAATTCATCAATAACACAATAATTTCTCTCACAAGAACAGTCATCATACGTGAATAAAACTTGCATCTAAATTTCAATGTCAAAATCGATACAATAATGCTGCAAAAATGCATACAGCTCAAAAAGATTGACTCCAATAATACGATGGCAATTATGAGTTACTATCTCGTGTAGACATGTTATCCTGAGAACAAAAAAATATATTTGTGTTCACATCAAGCAGACGTTGACAGAATGAACCGAAACTTATTACAAGAACCAACTAATTGTCAATTGAAAAAAAAAAAAGCTACAAGTTTTTTTTATTGGTAACATAAGCTACAAGGGTAAACTATGAATAATTTGAATACGGTATACCAGTGATGAACTATGATTAATTTGAGACAGCAAATAATAATAACAATGGGTCAACATACTAATATGAAAGATCAAGAAATAGGTGGTTCACTACAAATTAAAAGTTTGCTGTTTTTCCTTTTCTATGAGCTATTGGTGTATAGTCCACGAGTCCAGTGATTTTTATGTTAGTGAATCTCCGTTTTAGCACGCTCCCGAATGCTAAAATTGATTAATTGATGTCCAATACTTTATTTTGTCAATTTGATTTCTCATTTTTTTCTATATTCTTCATAGCGGAAAACCAATCTTTACGGTAAAACTAATACCACGAAACTCAAAATAGCTAAAACTTAAAAGAATGGAAGCTACTAAGCAGACAACTAGTGAAACACTAATGAACATTACCCTCAATCTATCAGACAGAATGGAAGGAGTGATGAGCTTATATTTGGGAGCTTCAGAGAGAAGCTTGTCGTAGGTGGCCTGGTCAAACAACACCATGTTGTTCACCTTCTCCTTCTGCTTTCCCTTGCTCCACTTCTGTATCATCAACGAAACAAAAATAAATGAATAACTGTCTCTTAGTGAATAAACAGAAAACTTACAAATAAAAAGTGAGATAAGAAGGAAAAAATAATATTTTGCACATGAATTTCTTCCAATAAAGAGAACAAAGCATAAAATAAAGAATATATATACATAAGTTAGCATTTAACACCTAAACTGGGCAACAGAAAACCGAAACTACATGAGAGGCAAGTCTAAAACAAAAGGAATAAATAAAATTGGCAACAACATATGCAGAGGACTCAAAAGTATATGGAATTCATTTCGCACCTTCTTTTTCTGTTTACCACCTCCAGACTTAGCGGGCTTGGAAGATGGAGGAGGGGCCTTCTCCTTCTTTGGCGCCTGAAAAATAAAAGAGCGAGGTTTTAGCCATTGCCAGTGATTCGGCTAAACTTTGGCAGCATCTCTAACCTACCACAATAAATGAGTAAACTATATAAGATAAACACTGAAATGAGAGCACGCACCATCGGATTCGAAGCGGAAGGAGTTGCAGAGGAGAGGAAGCGTGTGAACGGAGGAGCCCGCGCCGAAGTTGGAGAACCCTAAAATTTTAATAGGTGCTTTTATACTGGGTGAAACCCTGAAAGAGACGAGTGTTATTAGGGCTAACAATCGGCTGGGCTGGTTGAACAGTAACTGGGCTAGCCCACGTCCAGCTTCGGCCCTGACATAAGCATTTGGCATTTCTGCAAGAGGAACGGGCCTCTACAAGTTGGGCCGAAACTCTCCAGTCAGCACTCAGTAGTCATATTAATTCTATGCTTTTGTAACGTTCAAAAAAAGAAAAACAAAATTCAGAACACCACGTGATCAAATCAGCCCCCCCAATGTTCCATAACACATCCCCGCAGTGTATTAGAAATATCTCCCGATGATGATATAATCATTTCTAATATTATCGTCGAGAGATGTTTCTAATACACAGGCAGGAATGTGCGATGGAACATTGTGGAGGGCTGATTTGAACTCGAACACTACGAGTCCACGAGTGTGTTTAGATCACAGATGGGATATAGAGTATAGGTAATGCAAAGTGCAAATAAATAAATAGCGAATTTTTTTTGGAAAATTCCTATTTAGTATTCTGTACTTTGGATTATTGTCATTTTAGTCCTGGAACTTTAAAATGCGATAATTCAGTATTTGGATTTTTAAAATGTATCAATTTATTACCTATTAGTTTTATGTATCACCTATGTAACTTAAAACTTTTGAAGATGTCAAAATTACTCTTAAAAATAAAATACTGTTCATCATCTTCTTGTCATTAAGATGAAACAGAGTTATAATCTCATCCGATTTTCTGCCCAAATTCTTTCCTGCTTGCGTCTCAATTCCTAACACGTTCTTTGTAAGCCATTCAGTTGAACAGATTTCAACTGCATTGATCCGAGCTACTATTTCCTGGCGACGATATCAGGCCTGAAATTGCCAATTCCCTAAAACAGGTTGGTTTGGTGCATCTCACTCTATTCAATTACAATAACAAAGAGAGACAACAAAAAGACAAAACTCAAGAGGATTTCTCTTTTTTGACAGGATGTGTATGATACATGACTTACTTTGCCCTTTATTTGTTCACTTTTTTCTTCGAGAGCTTTTGATATGGGTAAAAGCTGTGTTGAGACTGTATTCGCTTTTTTTTTTTTTGAAATATTTTTTTCATCTTTACTTTTGCTTGGTTAATAGATGAGTTTGTGTTTCTGTCAAAGATTTAATAGGAGAAAGTCTGCTTTTTTTTTCTATTTTTTCTTTGTTTTGTGATTTTGTTGAAGAATCAAACAAAAACCCGCTGCCAATCTGATGCTTGTGGGATTGAGACAGGTCATGCACCCATTGGAGGTTGAATACAGATTCTCGCAAGATGGTTTAGACATTAAGGGCACTCAAATGGCTGATAAAGAAAATAGGTGATGCTGTAAGGGTATTTTTGTCTTTTTAGGCTTGGGCAGCCGTGGAAGTCCAATTTCTTTGGCCTCAAGGCCTAGTTTTTCTATGTAAGTCTGGCCTGGTGTGGTGCTAAGATTTGACTTTTGATGTAACCATTTCTAGTCACGTACCAATTTTTTGTGATGTATCAATTTTTTTTGGCCAAATGTCTCGCCATTTGACCTACTCCCAAGAGAGGATGGTGGAGCTCCCTGGTGGTGAGATACTTGGTGACGAGCTCCCTGGTGGTGAGCTACTTGGTGACAAGCTCCCTAGTGATGAACTACCTAGTGACGAGCTCCCTGGTGGTGAGCTACTTGGTGACGAGCTCCTTGGCGGTGAGCTACCTGGTGACGAGTTCCTTGGTGGTGAGCTACTTGGTGACGAGCTCCCTGGTGGTGAGCTACTTGGTGACGAGCTCCCTAGCGGTGAGCTACTTGGTGACGAGTTCCCTGGTGGTGAGCTACTTGGTGACGAGCTCCCT